TAATTTTTGTAAAGGCTAATATAGAAGTCTGAACACTACTTCAACCGAAAGTAATGGTCATTAATCGAATGAATAGATGGCGATATGATACTCTATGGATAGCGCTTGACAGATAACGACAAATAATTGTCAACGCAACGGACAACGGGAGCCTAGCGGCTCTATGGACAAGTGGGCAACACTAGTTCACGAGTCATTCAGCAGTCTATAAGTCCATATGATTGTAATCGTGGGGAGTTATTTTCAAAAAAAATGTTCATATTACGATTATTTTAAAATAAAGAATGTTAAACAGTTTTAAAATACAAAAAAAATTTTTTTCAAAAAAGTCCACTTTTTCAATTATTTCAAGATTCTCAAAAATCTAATTTTATCAAAGTTTTCAAAAATATTAAAGCTTTAAAAGTTTGGAATTACGGTACGACAAGTTCCATCAAATTGCCTTAAGGCGCGATGCCATGCACCACTAGTTTTCCAGATTTGTTGCGGCCCAGTGCCTTGTATATTCCTAAATTTTGGCCCAAAGAGTAATTTAGGTTGGACATCGCTGGTCTAGTACAAATAGCAGAGTTACTTTCAAACAATTATTGTACATCAACGTTATGACAGTTCCGCCAAAAATCTCACCAAAAACAGTCATATTGTAACATGACATCAGATTACTAGCCTGAACACAGACTCTTAGGCAGATACAAAATAGAGATGTAATATATTACATCTTTCGATTTCGCAAGGCATCGCCTTTTATATGATTCAAGAAGTATTATAAAAAAATTAACACTGCAAAAGAATCGTTGAAGATTTTTATGCGTATCCGTAATAAAATGATAAAAATTTATACTTCTCGCAACCAAAAGCAAATCCGCAGCTTTGGCGGAGATCGGAGCAACCAGATTTTATCTACATATATTGGAAAGAGTTAACGTTGCGTTTAATGCATTAATCCTTTTTTTGTTATGATAACTATATTGTCATTCGAATACTCTTACTTCGGAACTTCCATTATTTGTATTTAATAGACAAAATATAAGAGCTTATGAATTGGACCATGACGTTTATAAAAGTTTACATGAAAAATAATTAAACAGAGTTTAATAAGGGGAGTTAGATTGAAGGATCTGTTCTCATATTACTAATAGTAAGAATGTTATAAACCAAACAGCAAAGTTAAAATAATCTATCTCAAATAAATTTAAAATTAAAATTTGAATGATTATTGATATTCAAAGAATATAGTTCCCCAAAATTAAAAAAATAATGTACATTTTTTTTTGTTTTTCCCAAAAATAATTGTTCCGTCAATACAAGCAAAAGGGTTTTTGAATCATTCAAATCAGATATTTCGTTCTCTCAAAAACTGCAATTTTTTGCACATTTACCTCGGTATCTCCAAAACGGCTGGGCTGCCTTTGCCAAAAACGAATCACCACTTCTACCCGTCATGGTCATGAACAGACAAATCACTTAAGTAGGACTCCATATGTTTATTTTTTAAATCAAATTGTTAAGTTACTTTATAGCTTTACTCAGTTAGCTTTGTCATCCGGAAATTGAGTATTTTGCCACTTTTGCCAGTTTTCTTTTACAGGCTATGAGTCTTTAAGCTTCGAGTGGACAGAAAAATCGCTCAACAATATCATTTGTGGGTGTTGAATTGCGAGCCGCATCAGTGATATTTTTATTGAGAATACTATTCAGAGGTGGGGAACCTTTTTGCCATTAGAGGCCGCACTTAAATTAGCAGCAATGAAAGAGGCCGCATAAGCTGATTGACCTAAAAAGTGACTTATGTGAAATTACTAACTTCCCGAAGGAGAAGTTAATCTTTTCATCAAAAAATCCGATTCGCTAATTTTATGTTTTCTCGACGTTTCAAGCCATTCTGAATCGAATGAGACCAAATTTGGAAAAAGTATGTGTATGTGTGTGTGTGAGTGTGAACAGATTTTTTGCCGTAAATCGACGTTTTCTCCAAAACGGATGGACCGATTTCAAAAATTTAAAAGCCATTCGATGTATCTCGATAAGGACTAGCGTTTCTGAGTTTCGTGCGACGATCGGCTGGGCCGTTTCTTTCTAAATTGCAGAAAAGTGAAAAAATTTTTGTCCACGTTTTAGCCCGCAATTCTGAATCGATTTTCAAAATTCAAAAACCGTTCGATAGATATTGGTTGGGAATCGTGCTGATTAGTTTTTGGTAAAGATCGGCCGGGCCGTTTTCTTGTAATGAAGTTTTTTTAAAAAAAAATTCGACGATTTTTATTATTATTTTTTTGACGGTAGATGCCATAGTCTTCTAGATCATACTAAACTATTACGGCCCCCACGACAACTCGTTTAGCTTTAAAAATTCGTCAAAGTTTGCAGAAATTAGTATGGTCTTTTTGGCATTTGTCAAAATTAGAACTTCCATCGAGGTTTGCTCCAAAACGCCTGAACCGATTGCAGAAATTTAAAAACCATTTGATGTATCTCGATGAGGATTATCGTTTCTCAGTTTTATGCGACGATCGGCCGAGCCGTTTCTTAGTAATTTGGAAAAAAGTGTTAAACTTTTGGTCCACATTTGTGCTGATACTACCGAATCGATATTAAAAAATCAAAAATTGTTCGAAAGATATTAGTTGGGAATGATACTCATTAGTTTTAGGTGAAAATCTACTGAGTCGTTTTCTTGTAATTAACTGTTGAAAAAAAATTAAGCCGATTTTTGGCGTTATATATCATGGTCTTATTGAACTTACTGAAATATTATTGCCTTACGACAAGTAGTTTAGTTTTAAAAATTTAGGAAAGTTTGAGAAAATGAGTAGCTCTTTTGACATTTGTTACTTGGTATAACGATAGAGTATCTTGTCTTAATGAACATGATACACAATTAAAGTCCTACAAAAAACTGGCTCAATTGTAAAAATTATTGATTTTTGAAAATTTGCTTTTAAAAAACACTCCGACCGGGTTGACTTGTTCGATTTTCAAAAAATTCACTTTGAATACTTTTAACAACTCATAAATTAATTTATCTATCATGGATTAAGTCGATTATTTACAGAAATCGGGAAGTTCATGTAACTTGCCTCAAGGCAAAATACTAATACCAACTAGTTTGGCTTTGGCTTTTGCTTGGCAAATGAGCAATTTATGACAAAATGACCAATAAATGTCGAGATGTAAAATTTCTGGGTGTCGAAGGAAATCGAACTGAATTTCATTCATTTTTTTTAAAGATTGGAAAAAAAGTTGGTATGTTTCTAACGTATGTAATGAGATAAAATCTACTTCGTTTCGATAAAATCGAATTTTAGTTCGTTTTAATTTTATTTAAACATTCATTTTTTATATAAAAATGATATTAAAGTCTTTTGATTTGAATTTGATTTTCATATTCTTATTGTTACATAATTATTTGAAATAAAAAATTATATATTTTTCTTATACGATTGAACTCACTGATAGATTTTTATTTTGCAAACTAAGGTGTTAAAGGTTAATTTAGAGAATTTCGGGCTCTGAAAAAACCAGATTAAATTCATTTGTGAACTTTCGGTATGAATATTCCTACTTGTTGTCATTCATGACAATATAGTTATCATAACAAAAAAAGGATTAATGCATTAAACGCAACGTTAACTCTTTCCAATATATGTAGATAAAATCTGGTTGCTCCGATCTCCGCCAAAGCTGCGGATTTGCTTTTGGTTGCGAGAAGTATAAATTTTTATCATTTTATTACGGATACGCATAAAAATCTTCAACGATTCTTTTGCAGTGTTAATTTTTTTATAATACTTCTTGAATCATATAAAAGGCGATGCCTTGCGAAATCGAAAGATGTAATATATTACATCTCTATTTTGTATCTGCCTAAGAGTCTGTGTTTCAGGCTAGTAATCTGATGTCATGTTACAATATGACTGTTTTTGGTGAGATTTTTGGCGGAACTGTCATAACGTTGATGTACAATAATTGTTTGAAAGTAACTCTGCTATTTTGTACTAGACCAGCGATGTCCAACCTAAATTACTCTTTGGGCCAAAATTTAGGAATATACAAGGCACTGGGCCGCAACAAATCTGGAAAACTAGTGGTGCATGGCATCGCGCCTTAAGGCAATTTGATGGAACTTGTCGTACCGTAATTCCAAACTTTTAAAAGCTTTAATATTTTTGAAAACTTTGATAAAATTAGATTTTTGAGAATCTTGAAATAATTGAAAAAAGTGGACTTTTTTGAAAAAATTTTTTTTTTGTATTTTAAAACTGTTTGAACATTCTTTATTTTAAAATAATCGTAATATGAACATTTTTTTGAAAATAACTCCCCACGATTACAATCATATGGACTTATAGACTGCTGAATGACTCGTGAACTAGTGTTGCCCACTTGTCCATAGAGCCGCTAGGCTCCCGTTGTCCGTTGCGTTGACAATTATTTGTCGTTATCTGTCAAGCGCTATCCATAGAGTATCATATCGCCATCTATTCATTCGATTAATGACCATTACTTTCGGTTGAAGTAGTGTTCAGACTTCTATATTAGCCTTTACAAAAATTATTTTATTTATTCAAATTGAAAATAATAATTTGTGCGATTGTTGTTTGTCATGGGGCCGCACAAAAATCGCCATCGGGCCGCATGCGGCCCGCGGGCCGCAGGTTGGACATGGCCGTACTAGACGGCAAGGGGCCGCACAAGAACCTCCCGGAGGCCGCAGGTTCCCCACCTATGACCTATTGCATTATCAATATAATCTGTACTTTTTAGAGGTACTTTGCAGCATAAATTGTCATCAATATATTTAGAAAATAATTCCCAATTAGTTTTTTTATTTGTTAATGATGGATTTTTAGATTGCAATTTGTAGTTTGAGCTAATAATAATTTCGGATTTCAAATTTTGCCGCCGAAAAACACACAGCTGATTTGTGTTTAACTTCAGCTTGATCTGTTGTTTATAAATGCAAAATGGAGGAGAAATGTCAAAGTGGTTTATGGAATTATTAAAGTTAAATTCGAAGATAAATTTAGTAAAAAGGTCAGTGTTAGCATTATATCATATTAAACAATAAACGAATTAGTAAATATTGTAACACATATATTATTATACACTTAGACTTCCCAATTTTTAAGAACTTATCACCAGTTTGTTTATTATAACCTACAAACTCCAAACATGTTTGAAGAAACAAATTTAAACAAAACAATTAAAACGGAACCGATCGATGATTATCCTCAAGTGAAGCAGGAATTTGATGATTATGAAAATACATCCGATTTGTATACGGATAATGATGATATATGTCTGCAGCAATTTCTAAAATCTGAGGTTACAATTGACGGGGAAATAAAACAAGAGACGATTGATGACCAATATGACGTGACTAGTACAAACAAAACTGTATTAGATGAAAATTCTTCCCTATGTAACGAAGAGATCAGTGAATCAAGTACGATAGTCGATAGTACAAACAAAACATTTGACAAAGTTTCAGGAAAAGATAAGACAACTAGTAAGTTGAAATACAAATGTAAATCATGCAGTAAAACATTTGTAGAAAAAGGTAACTTAAAAAAACATGAAAGGATCCATACTGGAGAGCGGCCTTATGAGTGCAAAATATGCAATAAAAGATTTTCACAGTCAAGTAATTTAAGACAGCATTTATCAGTGCATACAGGTGAACGTCCTTACGCATGTGAAATATGTAATAAAACATTCAGAATGAAAAAAATGTTAAAACAACATAAAGCCGTCCATTCTGGAGAACGCCGTAATGAGTGCAAAATATGCAATAAAACATTTAAAAGAAAAAATAATTTAAAACAACATGAAATGATTCACACTGAAGAAAGGCCTCATGAGTGCAACATATGCAATAAAAGATTTTCACGGCCAAGTATTTTAAGAGAGCATTTATCAGTGCATACTGAAGAACGACCTTACGCATGTGAAATATGTAATAAAACATTCAGAACAAAACCTATATTAATGCAACATAAAACAGTACATACTGGAGAACGCTGTAATGAGTGCAAAATATGCAATAAAACATTTTCAAATATAGGTAATTTAATAGCACATTTATCAGTGCATAGTGAAGAACGACCTTATGAATGTGAGACATGCAATAAAACATTAAAAGAAAAAATAATTTAAAACAACATGAAATGATTCACACTGAAGAAAGGCCTCATGAGTGCAACATATGCAATAAAAGATTTTCACGGCCAAGTATTTTAAGAGAGCATTTATCAGTGCATACTGAAGAACGACCTTACGCATGTGAAATATGTAATAAAACATTTAGAACAAAACCTATATTAATGCAACATAAAACAGTACATACTGGAGAACGCTGTAATGAGTGCAAAATATGCAATAAAACATTTTCAAATATAGGTAATTTAGTAACACATTTATCAGTGCATAGTGAAGAACGACCTTATGAATGTGAGACATGCAATAAAACATTCAAAACAAAAAATAATTTAAAACAACATGAAATCATTCACACTGAAGAAAGGCCTCATGAGTGCAACATATGCAATAAAAGATTTTCACGGCCAAGTATTTTAAGAGAGCATTTATCAGTGCATACTGAAGAACGACCTTACGCATGTGAAATATGTAATAAAACATTTAGAACAAAACCTATATTAATGCAACATAAAACAGTACATACTGGAGAACGCTGTAATGAGTGCAAAATATGCAATAAAACATTTTCAAATATAGGTAATTTAGTAACACATTTATCAGTGCATAGTGAAGAACGACCTTATGAATGTGAGACATGCAATAAAACATTCAAAACAAAAAATAATTTAAAACAACATGAAATCAGTCACACTGAAGAAAGGCCTCATGAGTGCAACATATGCAATAAAAGATTTTTACGGTCGAGTATTTTAAGAGAGCATTTATCAGTGCATACTGAAGAACGACCTTATGCATGTGAAATATGTAATAAAACATTCAGAACAAAACCTATATTAATGCAACATAAAACAGTACATACTGGAGAACGACCATATGAGTGCAAAATATGCAATAAAACATTTTCACATTCAGGTAATTTAATAACGCATTTATCAGTGCATAGTGAAGAACGACCTTATCTATGTGACATATGCAATAAAACGTTCAAAACAAAACCTATATTAATGCGACATGAAAGAAAACATACTAGAGAACAAACTGGAATTAAAAAGTCAACTGTTGAATCAGTCTAGAAACAGCCCGACCTAATAATCCTTATCCATTACACAACTTATATTGATACACAGGATATTAAATGCAATTTATTTAATATATATTTCAGTTACAACTATGGTTGTTACTCCTAACCAGTGCCTTGTATTGGTTAGTAATATCAATGTAATTGTTATTGTTTAAAAATATCAATACATAGTACAAATGCTATTTTTTTTTTGTTTTATTCAAAACATTACTATTTTGTTCTTCAATTATTCAATATTCTTAGTAAAACTCCTTTAGGCACGACTAGGGTGTAAATCAGTGCAAATGCAACGGAAGAGCGTTACGGCCGAGTCGAGTGCCAATGATTCGTGCCGTAATGAGTGCAATGCCCCCAAACTTTTTATCCAGCCCTGGTCCTAGTAGAAATCTTGATTTAATAAAACATCTTTGAATTGGTAGAATAATTTATCCCGTCTTCAGTAAATAATTATAGCGAAAATAAAAAAACAAATGAAAAATCCGTGCCGTGTAAGAAACGGAAATTTATTGAAATAATTTGTATTATTCGTGGTTACTATATATTTTTAGAAATAAATTTTTTAGGCAAGATGGATATTACAGCTACTCAAAGAATGAGACTGTATCGCCAGCGAAAAAGTGAAGAAAAAACAAACAGTCAATGAATGTATGTTAATTTTAATTACATGAAGTTCTTCAAACACAATTATTACATGATGAGTGAAATTGTGAAAACAAAACACAATCCACGACAATCCACTGTGTGAATGAATATTATAGAATTATTATTCAGCAATTACTTCATTTGTCTAGTGAAGGTTCAAGTCCTAAATGCTAATTACAATGACAAACCGATCATGTCGTATTTGAAGTATGACATTATTTAATTACATTATTGTTTTTAAATATATATTACATATTTTTAATGCTATTATTAATATATAATTTACAATTCATTATATAAATATGTATAATGATAGACATTAAAAAATGTGTGGATCACGAGTGTTACAATATTAAAAAGTAACATTATTCAAAATTGTTACATGTATTTATTTTACTTAAATGACATATTCTACAACTCTTTTTTGCACTCTTTTTTGTATTTATTTTTCTATGAGGCTAATTGTACGGTTGTTATAGCAACAATATCTAATTCTTCTTTCTTGGTAGTAAAAACTATGAAAAGTCAATTAATTGCTGTACCATCAGGCATATTTTACATATAAACTGTATATCACAAAGTAATCGGTGCTTGAATTTTCAAAATTGATTCAGAATTGTGAGCTGAAAAATTTTTCACTTTTCTGCTATTTATAAAGAAACAGCTTGGCCGATCATCGCACAAAACTGACAAATAATAGTCCTCATCGAGATTCATCGAATGGCTTTTAAATTTTTGCAATTGGTCAAGCCGTTTTTGAGAAAAGGTCGATTGACGGCAAAAAAATCTGATAACACACACACACACACATACTTTTTCTAAATATGGTCTCATTCGATTCAGAATGGCTTGAAACGTCGAGAAAACATAAAATTAGCTTTTAGCGGGATTTTTTATGAAGTTAAAAAAATTGAAAAGGTCGTTTTTGGTGTTGACAGTTGATGAATATAGAACTGTTGTGAAGTTAGATTCTAAATTTTAGAAGAGTGTCTTGTCTCTCTAATATAATAAATATTATATTAATGAAATAGTCAAATAAAATGTATATATAAAATATGAAAACTGTTTTTATAATCTCTCATACCAGGCATCTCTGTCGGACTGAGATTTGAAAATAATGTGTATAGATAAATAAATAAATAAATAAATAATATATATATATATATATATATATATATATATATATATCGGAAAACTCATGTAACTTGCCTCAAGGCAAAATACCAATACCAACTAGTTTCTTTCATAAACATTTAATATATTCTTTTATAAACTCAATATTAGAATGACTAATCATAACAAAATAAATAAAAAACAAATCAAAAATATTGTATTATATTTTTCGATAAGAAGCCGATAATAGCTCTTTTTTAAATTCCCGTAGGGCAAGTTATAGTAATCGCAAAAAAATCGAAAATAAAAATTTTATATATCTTTACGTTTCAAAACCTTCTGAACATTTTGGCATACCTTAGAAAAAATGAATGTATGTGTGTGTGTATGCGGATACAAATTTTCGTCGACGATTTCATACATTTCATACCGATCAACCGATTTGAATAATTCAAAAAACCATTCGATTCGCATCGTTAAGGAGACGTGCTGATTAGTTTTTGTCGAAGGCAGTTCTAGCCGTTCCAAAGATACGGGTCAAAAAATGCCAAAAACGGTAAATCAGTTTTTAAGAGAACAGAGCGTCCGATTTTAATAATTCAAGAAACATTTTACTTGTATTGACAAGATAAAAAAAACTGATTAAATTTTTGGGAAGGCAGATCTAGCGGTTATGGACTCTCAATAAAAATAATTTTAAAAAATGCCGTTTGGCGGTCCAAAATGTTTATTGAACTTATGCACATCAAATTATCAGATATTTTATAGAGATTTTCATTATGTGTACACATTTTGTGTAATTTTTCTCGGGTTCCGTACCAAGATTTTTAATTACGATAAGTCAAGTTCCAGCAATTGGCCTAAAGGCACGATGCTATGCAACCCACTAGTTTAGAAATTCTTAGATTTATAATAATGAATAGATAGATACAATTAACATAAACATATAACAATAAAGTATCCTTTGAAAATTCAGAAAAGAGCAATTCACGTGTTCATATATAATCTCAAAAACGATAAAGTTTGAATCATTATATATGTACAATAACAAAAAATTTCTTCATATTATATTATGTAAACTAAACAACTAACCGAATAGTAACCGAATATTCGGTGCAAGCCTAATGTGAAGTTTACGTTTTAAGGATTTTTTGAATACATAGACAGAAAATATTTATATAAAGCCCGGTGCACACGACGCCAGTTTTCATGCTGGACAGTTTTTGTTTGTTTGTTACCCTAGGAACGACATGATAAACCATAATTTACGATCTTGCGCGACATAATTTGCGATCTGGCCTGCTAGATTTCACGCATTCACAACGACGGTATACTCATCATAATTTCTAAGTAAAACCGTTGCCTTAACAACGTCAAAATTTGATTTCATAACAACTTCAGTCCTTGCAAATTCCTGCCGTATTTTACGAATGGAGCATGTCCTATGTCGGCGATAGATGAACGATCTCGTGGCCGATACCTTCAGTGTCCAATAGGAAAGCTGTATTTTGACACGAAAATATCAATGCGTACTTGATTCATGTACTTCGATTTTGAAAGCGTTTAGTTTTTATTTTGTAAATAGCTATTGGGTGCATTCGACTTGGACGCTTACGCGCTGTGAGCGCGCCGTGAGCGCGCTTTCATCGTTCGACTTGGCGCTGTTAGTGTGGCATAAGTACGCTCGTAGCACCATCGTAGGATGCTCGTAGCACATATTTTGCGCTCACATACGCTCACGCCACAGAGGTAGGGCAGCGTGAGCGTGAGCGTCAGTTGTTTTTACTATCTGTCATTTCATTTGTTTATTAATTGTCAAATTCATTATAATTCCGCAAAAATAGCAAGCTGTAGATCACAATTATTTCTTAATATTAATATTGATATTAATTAATTTTAAATTTAATTAATTTTAAATTTCAATTTTAATATTACTATTAATTAAGCATAAGCTAACCAAATTTCATTTATTTATTAATTGTTAAATTCTTTATAATCCCGCAAAAATGCCAAGTTGTATATCACATTTTTTTTATTCATATTATTTATTTTATTTTATCATATTATTTATTTATTTTAAATTCAATTAATTTTAAATAATTTTAAATTTTAATTTTAATATTACTATTAATTAAGCATACGCTATCCAAATTTCATTTATTTATTAATTGTTAAATTCTTTATAATCTCGCAAAAATGCCAAGTTGTATATCACAATTATTTTTAATATTAATATTAATATTAATTAATTTTAAATTCAATTAATTTTAAATAATTTTAAATTTTAATTTTAATATTACTATTAATTAAGCATAAGCTATCCAAATTTCATTTATTTATTAATTGTTAAATTCTTTATAATCCCGCAAAAATGCCAAGTTGTATATCACAATTATTTTTTAATATTAATATTAATATTAATTAATTTTAAATTCAATTAATTTTAAATAATTTTAAATTTTAATTTTAATATTACTATTAATTAAGCATAAGCAAACCAAATTTCATTTATTTATTAATTGTTAAATTCTTTATAATCCCGCTGAATGATCCAGAAAGTAATAAAATTTACACAATTACCGTTACCGCCAGTTGCCACCATTTTGATGCTTATTGACGCTCACAGTTTCCAAAACGAACGGAATTTAGTTATCGATTCTGAGCGCTTATCGGCCAAGTCGAACGCTAAAAATTCGTGCTTATAAGCGTGAGCGCTCACAGCGCGTAAGCGTCCAAGTCGAACGCACCCATTGTGTATATATAGCGGCGTGAATAAATGATTAGTTTAGGAAAGGCAGTTCAGTAATTTTAAAATATTCAAATTTCCGAAAAAATTTAAATATGCATTTTTTTTCAAATTTTCGTAATTTTATCTGAAATATCAAAAAAATTCAAAATTTCCAAAAAATTACAAAAAAATTCAAATCGTTTTATTTCAAAAATTTCGAAATTTGCAAAAATACTCAAAATTAAAAAAAAATTAGTTGGGTGTATGGCATCGTGCCTTGAAGCAAATTGCTGGAACTTCCCGTACCGTAACGAAATGATTGAGGAATATTAAATGTTTTAAAATAGATTATTATAAATATTGTAACATTGTCTAATATTTATAAGAATTATATAAACTGAATTGGAAAGTTGAAATTATTTGTTTAAAGTATATTAGAACAGAATTAAAATAAAAATCTGAATTATTTTCGATATACAAAAAAATTTTTTTTTCAAAGAAAAAAAATTGAAACAAGAATTTTTTTTCCAAAATCAATTGTTTCGGTAAAACAAGCAGAAAGTTCTTTGAATCATTTGAATCGGACGCTTAGTTCTCTCAAAAACTGCCATTTTTTGCACATTTAGCACTGTATCTTCGAAATGGGCTGGGCCTGCCTTTGCCAAAAACTAATTACCACTTCTCCCAATCATTACTAGTTGAATGTTTTTAGATCATTCAAATCGGATGCTCCGTTCTCTCAAAAACTCGATTTAAATTTTCTGCACTCATTGCTCTTTATCTCCGTAATTGCTGGACCTGCCTTTGCCAAAAACTAATCAGCACATCTCAAAATTTTTGAAGAAAAAAACTAAATATCTTTTAAGTTATCGTCGATCTCCAACGGCACAAATAGGCCTTTCACTGCTACAGTGATTCCGGCTTTCTACGTGGATCAAATCCAAAAAAAAAATCGTTAAACTAGATAATGTTGTCTGTAAAATGAACTATGATAAAACAGAAATCAAAAATTGATTAAATGGCGGCGTTTTTTATAAAAAAGTTTTTGGACTGCCAAAATTATCGATTTGAAATTTTGGTATGTTATTTTTAAAGGTATAACCTATCGAAATATGAAAAAATATGAAAATTCGACTACAGTTTGAAAATTTCACACTAGTTGTGCCCCTTAAACTGAAGCATTTTATTATCTTTTAATTATTATTATTTTACTTAATTCACAGTATATATTTATAATAATCTATTTGAAAATGTACGAAATTAATATTAATCATAAAATAAGTGAAAATCTGGGGCAAAATTCTTGCTCGCTAGAAATCCTGGTACGATAGAAATCATATTACAAGGAATACTGGCGTCGTGTGCACCGGGCTTAAATTTATTCATAATTCTATATATTTGTACAGTAGTAATAAAATTGACAATAAGTAATTCATATATGTTTCACACTATTTCACACATGAAGTTAGTTTCTGCTTATTATTATTTCGTTGATTTTCATCATGTTCCCCACTATGAACATTCAATTTGTGTCTCCTCAAGGTGCTCCTTAGTGCAAAATCTTTATTGCATATTTCACATTTAAAAGGACGCTCTTTGGTATGAGTGATCATGTGCTTTTTTATTAAATAATATTTTCGTGTGAATGCCTGATAGCATATTTCACATTTGAAAGGGCGTTCTCCTGTATGAATATGCATGTGCCTTGTCAAAACGCTCAAGTGTGAGAATGTTTTACTGCATATTTCACATTTGAAAAGACGCTCTTTGGTATGAATGATCATGTGTGGTTTCAGACTGCATTTTCGAGCAAATGTCTGGTTGCATATTTCACATTTAAAAGGACGCTCTTTGGTATGAGTAACCATGTGTGATTTCAGATTAGATTTTTGTGGAAATGTCCGATTGCATGTTTCACATTTGAAAGGACGCTGTCCTGTATGAATAAACATGTGAATTTTCAAATCTTTTTCTCGAATATATGTTTTATTGCATATTGCACATTTGAAAGGGCGCTGTCTTATATGAACAACTATGTGATTTTTCAAATCTGTTTTTTGGTTGAATATCTTAAGGCATATTTGACATTTGAAAGGGCGCTCTGTGCTATGTAGAACCATGTGCGCTGCCAAAAATGAAATTTGTTTAAATGACTCATGACATACACCACACTTATGGATGCCTTCTTCGTTACAACTGGGTTTGTGATCGGCCATGTGCTCTTTTAAATAATTAGATTCTGGAAATGAGATATTACAAATGTCACATTTATAAGACGGTGGCTCAATTACCTCCTGCTTGACTTCTTCCTCTATAGTCACTTCGGAATTCATAAATCTTTCCAGACACGTTTTATCATCCTCTAAATAGGATTCAGACTTAACAATACCATCTACATAATTAAATTCATCATCAGTTTCACGTTTAACGTCTTCCATTGAATATTCTGGTGGTTCAAGTTTAATTTTCTGATCATTCACAGACTTAATCGTTGCTTCCGACATTTTTATATATCTTCACTACGTATATTTAACAATTACTATCAGTTACGTATTATTTAATAATCTATTTTATACAATTGTTTTAAATATCATCATGAATTTAATTAAATATTAAATAAAACTTTAGCATTTGACATTTGAAGCATAGAGTATGTTTTTAGGAAAAAGAGACATTCTTCTAAGTTCAACACCACCATAGATAAAAGAAGAGTAGAACACCACCTTAAATCAGGCTAAGAATTTTGACATTTGCACATTTCAGCCAGCATGAAGTTGGCGACGAAATAGAAGTTAGCTGTCAAGTTGAAATGTATTGGATTCATAACTTTGACAGGTAAAACCTGTCAAGATCATTATTATCACAGACAAACAAGTATTATTTTTATTATGATTATTATATTGTCTAATAGCAAGATGATAGCATTTACCTTAGACAATATATTACGTTAAAATACAATATATATTGTTCCATCATAGCAAATATAGCAGAAAAAACGAAATATATCTGTCAATTCCAAGACAGTATGAAGTATTTTGATATAGTATTATAACATCAAAAGAGTTTCAATTTTATTTCATTTACTGAACCTTCTATTTGTTGTTTGTTGAGTTTTAGTTAGCTTCCACTGAATTAAGGTTAAGATCGTAACCAAACTAAACCTAACAAAAATAATGAATAACCCTATGCGTAAAACGTAAGCCTAAATTATTTTTTAAAACAAAATTATAACTAAAACATTGTATAAAATCTAGACTAAAATGATCTTTGAATGAAAAGAATCCTAAAACATAACCATAAAATGTAAAAATTAAAATAAGAACTAAATAGGCGCGTAATCAAAAAGCTAGACTAAAATGATTTTTGAATGAAAAGAATCCTAAAACATAACCCTAAAATGTAAAAATAAAAATAAGAACTAAATAGGCGCGTAATCAAAAAGCCAAAGCGAATAAACTTGAACGAACATAACAAAAATAAACACAAAAAGAATGAATCATAACGTAAAGCTAAAAAATATTAATATCAAATATGAAACAAGCTTATTTGATAAAAAAAAAACCAATACACCGACGCAACGCTGTTATAAAAATGAACAAAATGGTCGACGCGCTCTTGACATGTGAAATGCTTGACAGCTTGATATCTGTCTTCGCCGGCAACTTCATGCTGGCTGAATTGTGCGCAAGTGTCAAAGTCTTAGCTTGATTTAATGCCTCCTCTAAGTTCACAACAATTTGCGAACAATTTGAGAATCCATAGATAAAAGAAGAGTGAGAGTGAGTGACAGAATCATAATATAACAAGTTGGGCGCATGGCATCGTGCCTTAAGGCAAATTGCTGGAACTTCCCGTACCATTTTTTTTTTTTAAATATTGACACTGTTGAAAAAAATTTACTTAAAAAAATTAGATTTTTGAGAAACTATAAATTTGATAAAAAAATACTTTTTTTTGAAAAAAAATTTTTTTTAAAAAAAAAATGTTTTCTTTATTTTGACATATTTTGGAAATTCTGAACTTTTTTTCAAAGCAATCGTACTGCTTTAACTGCATAGGGACGAAATGTCAAAGCGCATAAGCGCCACGTCGCCATCTAACGGATGAACATTGGTTCGGAACCCATAAAAATGTAAACAAAAGTTTTATTTATTGTTAAATTCTCTATAAATAATCTGATGATTTGATGTGCATATGTCTAATGATCATTTTTTACCGCCAAATGGCATTTTTTTTACTTTTTTCACTAGATCTCCGAAGCTGCTAACCCTGCCTACATGAACAATTCTTCCTCTTGTCAATACAAGTAAAATGTTTTTTAAATTATTAAAATCGGACGCTGCGTTCTCTTAAAAACCGAGTTACTGAGTTTTTGGCACTTTTTGCCCCGTATCTTCAGAACGGCTAGACCTGCCTTCACCAAAAACTAATCAGCACGTCTTCTTATATAATGTGAGTCGAATGTTTTATGAATTATTCAAATCGGTTGATCGGTGTTCCCGAAATCGACGACGAACATTTGTATCCGCACACACACACACGCACACACAAGTCGCAAGCACGGCGAAGTAAATTATTATACTACGCAAATGCTATCGGGGCACGGCTGTTTTCGAGCCTACCTACACCGCTTCAGGCACGATAGCTCGCCGGATTGCCCATATTGTTTGGGCGAAATCGAAGATGCTGAGCATGTGTTGAAGTGATGCTGACAAGTGATGCTGCTTGGAACGCCATAGACAGATGTGCGAGAGATGTTTTAATGGACCTGCGTTCTATAGAGAGAGAAAGGGCGAATGGACTTCGCCCATTTAAAAGATAAGTATAATGTTTATGAATTATAGCATTGATTATAACAAGTTAAGAATTTATATCATTCTAGATCATCCCCCCACGAAGTAATGCCTAACGGCGGTTTCCGTGGGGACCAGAGGCAAGGGCAAAGCGGAGGTTTTAGTCGGTATTATACCAGGGCGGTATCGAGTCCGACATACCCAGACAGAAGACCGGTCTGGGACGCATAAAGGCATTTCCTTCGCTATACAAAAAAAAACACACACACACGCACACACACACATACACACACACATACATTCATTTTTTCTATGCCAAAATATTCAGAAGTAGTACGCGGCATACATCATCACGTCATCGTTCATTTATGTTATTATTTTTGTATTACTGTTTTAATTTAATTTTTATTTTAACTTTTTTCATTTTATATTCAATGTATTGCATTTTTTTTTTTTGCTCATATCAATTTTGTAAATAAGACATTAAAGTCTTGATTAACAAAAATAAATTGTAACAAAAAAAAAAAAAAAATATTCAGAAACCTTCAAAACGTCGAGAAATGCAAAAAAATTCATTTTCGATTTTTTTTGGTAATTACTATAACTTGCCCTACGGGAAGTTAATTAAAAACTTTGGAGCGAAGCCCTACCAATGGCAGTACATAAATATAAAACTAGTGGTGTATGGCATCGTGCCTTAGGGCAAATTGCTGGAACTTCCCGTATCGTAGTGAAGTATTCGAGGAATATTAAATGCTTTCAAATAAATTGTTATAAATGCTGTAACTTTCATTATTCGCATTTTATGAAACTTAATGAAGTGGAGTTAGAATGAAAGATCTTATCTCATATTTCTAAGAATTATATGAATTGAATTGCAAAGTTAAAATTATTTATTTCAAGTATATAAGTGAGCTCTGCAATTTTTGCAAGAATTAGTGTTAAAACCCGAATCATTTTCAATATGCCAAAAATTTTTTTTGAAAATTAAAAAAAAAACTGATTTGGCCAAAAAACAATCGTTTTGTCAATACAAGCGGATGCTTTATTCTCTCAAAAACTATCGTTTTTTGCACGTTTTGCTCCTTATCTCCAAAATGGCTGGACCTGCCTTTTTTGCATGCCAAAATATAATGTTACAAATTTAATGTTTTTTAAATCATTCAAATCGGATCACCCGTTCTCTCAAGAACTCTACTTATATTTTTTGCTCTTTTTACCCCGTATCTTCAAAACGGTCAGACCTGCTTTTGTCAGTAACTAATCAGGACGTCTCCCTATCAATAGAAAACAAATGTTTTTTTGGATAATTCAAATCGGTTGATCCTTGCGCCTGAAATCGTAGACGAAAAATTATAGACACACAAGATACGCACATCCATTTTTTCTTACTATAAATTATCTTATGGGAAGTTAATAAATAATCTGAAATAAGCAATACTAAAAGAAAGATACGGGTAAGCTCCCGATTGAAATGATTCAAAAAACATTCAACTCGTAATGATGGGGAGAAGTGGTGATTAGATTTCGGGAAAAGCAGGCCCAGCCGTTTCGGAGATACGGAGCTGAGAACGAAGCATCCGATTATATTGACAAAATGATTGTTTTTTGGATAAAACATAAAAAAATCAATGTTTTTCAGAGATCACTTATATACTTGAAATAAATAATTTTAACTTTGCAATTCAGTTTATCTAATTTTTAGAGATGTGAAATAAGATCCTTCATTCTAACTCCCCTTCATTAGGTTTGTTAAATACGAATAATGAAAGTTACAGTATTTATAATAATCTATTCCAAAGCATTTAATATTACTCGAATACTTCATTACCGCACGGGAAGTTCCAGCAATTTGCCCTAAGGGACGATGCACATCATAGATAAGGGAAGAGTGTTTCTAACTTATACTTTTTTTTTTAATTTGAAAATTTGCTTTATTTGTCTTAAATACATACATTGATTTTTACATAAAGATACAAATTGTATACACCTATTCTGGAATATCATTATACTATCATAATATAATTTGTTTGCATATATATAAATTGTTTCAATTAGCTTATATAAGTATGGAAAGAGCTATTACAAACATACTGCCATATTTTCTAACTTATAGATTATGATTTCATAAGTAATAATAATGATAAAATTAGAAACCATAAAATCCTTAAAAACGTCAGTTGATAATATATCAATCTGATCAAAAAAAAATCTAATATTCATATATTATTAACCTCTTAACGGTCACGGTTAATTATTAACCACTTAACGGTTATGTTTACTTATCTATGGGTCACGCACGAACGCTACTCGCGCCTAGTGGACAAAATAAAATTTATATCTCAAAGGTGGTAAGTGTCTCGTCTTCTTCTTTATGAAAAACACTCTATGCTTTAAATGTCAAGCTACTAAAAGGTGTTCATATTCTATAACAAATGTGAATTCAATTAAAGTCGTTATTATCCTGTTATTATCACATTCAAAAACATTATTGATTAACAATAAATATTAATTGGTATGTAATTGTTGAATCCAATAATATTTATTAAATGTACGTAGTGAAGATATATAAAAATGTCGGAAGCAACTATTAAGTCTGTGAATGATCAGACAATTAAACTTGAACCACCAGAATATTCAATGGAAGACGTTAAACGTGAAACTGATGATGAATTTAATTATGTAGATGGTATTGTTAAGTCTGAATCCTATTTAGAGGATGATAAAACGTGTCTGGAAAGATTTATGAATTCCGAAGTGACTATAGAAGAAGAAGTCAAGCAGGAGGTA